AAGAGGCTCGACAATGTGAGCATTAAAGCTGACAGAATCCTTCGTCGACGGAGCGGCTCGATAACACGAACAGTAAAGGTGACGTGAGCATTGAAGGTTCGTTTTCTTAATCTTAGGCTCGGTACCAGAACTTAGTACCGATTACTCCTCGGTACTGCTCGGTATCGCTCGCAAACTCGCTCGGTACTGCTTGGTACTCGATACTCGATATTTGAAGTCAGTACCGCTCGGCACTCGGTATTGCTCAGTACTCGGTACTCAATACTGCTCAGTACTGCTCGGTACTGCTCGGTATTGCTCAGGTCGAACCCCGCAGGGGGCAACGCCTCCTTGGACCCTCAGCATAGGCGCAACATATATACACTTCTAGTTAAAATTTTTCATGTTTCAAATTCATATGAATTAATTTGTGTCGATCTTTTATAGGATAATGAGCTCTAGTTGTGTAGGAATTGGGTATACTGCTGGTCAATCAGAGACCAATATTGAAGATAACAAAGCTCTGTGGGGTTATGTGACAAAAATAGGTAAAACGTCAGAAGGAGGTGGCAATATTGTATTCAAATGCAGTTTTTGTAATGTAACATACAAATGATCATATTATAGAGTGAAAGCTCTTTTGTTGAAGATTAGTGGTCATGGAATTAAAGTTTGTCCGAATATAAGCTCATCACAAATGGCTGAATTATAAAGAAAAATCAGTGAAGCTGAGCAAAGAAGTAAAAAAGAACTTCCAAAACATATTCCACTTCCAAGCACTCATGCTTCATAACCTTCATCATCTTCTTCAATTAGAAGTGATGACAATACTGTAAATAAAGGGCCTTTTCGGATGGAGGGATTTGAACAAAAAAGAAGAAGAAAACATGTTGTAGATAGTGCTTTAGAGAAAGCATTTAATTTACAAATGAGAGAGCAACTAAATGGGGAAATAGCTAGAATGTTTTACTCAGTTGGACTTTCTTTTAACCTAACAAGGAGTCCACATTACAAGAATGCCTTTACCTATGCATGCAATAATAATTTTACAGGATACGTGCCACCAGGATATAATGTCATTAGAACGAAGTTGTTGTAAAGAGAGAGGGATAATATTGAGATGTTGCTCGAGCTTACTAAAGAAGTTTGGAAGGAAAAATGAGTTACTTTAGTTTGTGATGGGTGAACAGATCCACAAAGAAGATCACTTATCAACTTCATGGCTGTTCCTATGTTTATCAAAGCTGTAAACTGTGAAGGACAGTACAAGGATAAATTCTTTATTTCTAATTTAATCAAAGAAGTTATTATGATGGTGGGGCCTTCAAACATCATCCAGGTTATTACTGATAATGCGCCTGTTTGTAGAGTTGCAGGTCTACTTGTAGAACAAGCTATCCTCATATTTTCTGGACACCATGTGTTGTGCATACGCTTAATCTTGCCTTGAAGAACATTTGTGCAGCTAAGAATACCGAGGCAAACGAAATCACCTACAATGAATGTCATTGGATCATAGTGATTGCTGGAGATGCAGTTGTAATTAGGAATTTTATTATGAATCACTCCATGAGACTCTTTATGTTCAATGATTTTTCTAATTTGAAGATGCTTGCAGTTGCAGAAACTCGATTTGCCTCAATTATAGTGATGTTGAGAAGATTCAAAAATATTAAAAATGCTCTTCAAGCTATGGTGATCGGTGACAAATGATACTGTTATAGGGAAGATGATGTTGAAAAGGCTAGGTATGTAAAGGAGATGCTTTTAGATGATTTATGGTTGGATGAGATTGAATACATCTTAAACTTCACATATTCAATTTATGAGATGTTAAGAGTAGCGGATACAGATAAGTCTTGTTTACATCTCATTTATGAGATGCGAGATTCAATGCTAGCCAAAATAAAAGAAATTATATATAGACATGAGAGGAAAGACTTCATGAAAACTCAAGTTTTTGGGATGTTATTTATACTATTTTAGAAGATAGGTGGAGCAAAAGTAATACATGTTTACATTGCTTGGCTCACTCACTAAATCCTAGATAAATTTCAACATTTTTTCATTATTAATTTATATTTTATTGTTTAGTAATTTCAACATTTTTTTATTATTTGTTTTTAATATTCTTTGAAGATATTCAACTAAAGAATGGCTTCAAGATGATCCTCAAAGAGTTTCTCCACAGAAAGATTTATAAATTTCAAATATGAGGAAGACATGTTTGAAGCGTTATTTTTCAAATGAGGAGGAGAGAAGAAATGTCAATATTGAGTTTGTTAAATTTTTTGGTTATTTAGAAGACTTTGGAGACTAAGAGTCATTGCGTGATAGGTGTAGAATTGATCCAAAAATGTGGTGGATTATACATGGAGCTTCAGCACCTCCACTTCAAACAATCGTCATAAAATTGCTTGGCCAAGTTTCATCCTATTCTTGTTGTGAAAGAAATTGGAGCACATATTCGTTCATCCAATCAATGAAGAGAAATAAAATTACTTCACAATGAGCTGAAGATTTAGTTTATGTGCATACAAACCTTTGACTTCTCTTAAAGAAATCTTCAACTTATATGGAAGGAGACAATATGATTTGGGATGTTGCTGGAGATGGATTTGAATCTCTTGAAGGATATGAGAATATTAGAAATTGCTAATCTTTCACTTGATGAGCCTGAGTTGGAAGCTATGATATTCATTGAAGATGACATCGAAATTCAAAGACAAACCACTGAAGAAGCTAATCTTATCATTCCTTCTATTGAATAGTTCAAACTTCATATGTTGGACAATTTATATTTTTGTTTTTGTTGTTGTACTAGACATTTAAATATTTAGTGCTTACTTTTATTTTGATATTATAAGATACAATGCTACAAGCCTACAAATGATGTTGCTTTCATTTTTTTTTGTGATTTCAAATATTATGCTTTGATTAATTTGTTATTTTTTATGTATGATTTATATATTATATTGCCGTATCCGCGCAGTATCCGTATCCTGTATTTTTAAGAATTGTCGTGTCTCGTATCCGTATCGTGTCGTATCCGTGTCCCCGTATCCGTATCGGTGCAACATAGCATACAAGATACTAGTATCAGAGATGTATTGGAAGGGGATGCACAAGGATGTGGAGGAGATGGTAGCCAGTTGTGAGATATGTTAGAGGAATAAATACATGTTCATGTCTCCAGGAGGATTATTACAGTAGTTAGCTTTACCAGGAAGGGTGTGGAAGGATATATCCATGGATTTCATGGATGAGCTTCCCCGATCAGAAGGACTTACAATGATCTTAATGTTAGTGGATCGATTGAACAAGTATGCTCATTTCATTCCCCTACGACACTCAAACACTACAGTGACAGTGGCCTCAGTTTTCATCAGAGAGGTGGTCAGACTGCATGGAGTATCAGAGGCTATAATATCCGATAAGGATAAGGTATTCCTCAGCCATTTATGGAGGGAGCTGTTCAGATTAAAAGGGATAGTATTGAAAATGAGCACCACCTACTACCCACATACAGAAGGCTAAACAGAAGTGGTCAACAGAAGTGGTCAACAGAAGCTTGGAGACTTACCTCAATGCTTTGTATCAAAGACACCCAAGTTTTGGGCCAGGTGGTTAGTATGGGCTGAGTATTGGTACAACACCTCTTATCATTTTGCTTCTCAGATGACACCATTCGAGGTGTTGTACGAGAGGGACTCACCTCACTTGGTGCACTTTGGGCATAACAACACTACATTTTCTTCAGTGAAGGAGTACTTAGATGAGAGGGACAGGGTGTTGGATGAGTTGAAGAGGCATATGCTGATAACTTAATAGATGATGAAGAAACAGGCAAATAAGGACATCCAATTTGAGATAGGGGAGAAGGTGTTTTTGAAGCTCCGACCTTACAGGATAAAGACAGTTGCCAACAGGAGGAATGAGAAGCTTGCACCTAGATACTTTGGGTCCTATGAGATATTAGAGAGGTGGCATACTGGCTGAAATTACCACCAACAACGACTATACATCCTGCTTTCCTTGTATATCAATTGAGAAGGGCCATTGGAGATTATGCAGCCAGTTCAGAGTTACTGGTGACACTCACTGAAGATTTAGAGGTGATTTTGGAACCTTTGGAGTTGATGGGGGTTTGTTAGAGAGAAGATTGAACTAAGTGTTGATCAAGTGGAAGAGTCTCTCGGACTACGATGCCACATGGGAGCCATAAGAGAGGGTGAAACATTAGTTTCCTTGTTTTCACCTTGAGGACAAGGAGATTCTTTGGGAGGGCGGTATTGTTAGACCGGTCGCTAGTGGACCGGTCCAATTACAACCGGTCCCTAGGGGACCGGTTCTTTTTTACTCTTGGAGGGGCGGCTGCAAAGAGAGAGGGAGAGGAGTGGGGTCCACCAAAACTTCAAATTAAAACTCTTTGGAGGGAAAGGAGGGGTCGGCAAGGCCTGCTTAGTCATTTGGCTTGATTAATTAATTGTATGCTTTTAGTAGGATAGAGAATTCCCCTACCATCACTCCTATTTATTTGGTAGTTGTAGCATTCTCTTGTTTAAATTACATACAATGTAAGAATTTCATTGCATGTGAATGCTTTATTTACTTGTGGGCTGCAAGATGCTTGGAACATCGTTAATTATATTAAACCTTCTAAGAATTGATGGCGGGTGCTAGTTATGGTGTTTTAGCTATTTTTGTTCATTCTGTATGAATTTATTCGTGCTGGACTGAGGGTGTGGTAATTGTGCATATGAGTTAAGTTGCTGTTGCTGGAAAGGCTGAAAGGCTGCAAGTGAAGTTAAAAATTTTCTTGTTTGGATCATTGTTACATGATTTTTCAGCCGGTGCTTGGCTGTGTATTTTTATGTGAAAAAGAAAATGGAGTTAAGTGTATGCCTATCTGACCTTGGTGCAACTTAAAGTTAGGTATTTATGTGCGTTGTGTGTCACTTTTGTCTGCATTAATTATTTATCAGCGACTAACTGTTTGGTATATTCCCAAATAACCTTAGGTCTTGTTTTGGAAAAGGTTGCAAACGAAGTTATCATCTATCTTGTTTGGATCGACCGTTGCCAGGTGCTTGGTTGTGTAAGTTTTGCGTGAAAAAGAAATTGGAATCAGGTGTGTACTCTGTGTCCGAAGGGATAGAGTCTGTTTGGGACATTGATGAGGGTGAGGATCCTTTAAACTTTCTCTGCTTTTTTAGATTTATAGAGTATCTTTTGAACAATTAATTTCTATGAGTGCCATTGGGCTTATGGTGTTAGGAGTGCAGAGTGGAAAGCTTTACTTTGTGAAATACAAAGGCTTTTCACATTCCCATAATCGTTGGATTTCAGAAAGCCAGCTGCTTCATGACGCTCCTTCACTTTTGGCCAAATTCAGAAAGAAAGGTCTGAAGGAGAAGGTAATCTCTCTAGATCTCCCTGCCACCCCCCTCACTACTTTGTTTTTCTCTTACTTGAACCTTGTATTCTAAAATACTAATACTGATTTCATATCTAATTCTTTCACACCAGCTTGCGGAAAGAAGATATTGAAATAAAATATCATGTATGATAAAACATTTTTTAGTTTTGCTTTATATGGAGCAGGTAATGAAGTGGAGAAAAGAGTGGGCTGAGCTTGAACGTTTGTTGGAGAAAAGGTTAGTTGTACTTCCAGAAACTTCTGATGAGTATACATCAGGGCCTGCCATGGAGACTTCAAATAGTTGTATTGAGTGGTTTGTGAAATGGAAAGGGCTTGAGTATGATCAAGCTACATGGGAGTTAGAAAAGTCTTTACTTTCAGGCTCATCTGAGGCTGCAAGACTTGTAGAAGAGTATGGACATCGTCGTGATCACGCCAAGAGGTTACATGATCCTCTGAGACGTGAGAAGGTAGTATAAAATACCTAGAAAACCTAATGTCAATGTCAATTTCCTTTTTAAAGAGTTTTTACTTGTTACTTTTCATTTTTCATGTATCTATTATATTGTTAAAGTTATTTTCTAGATGTTTTTAATTTTCTTTTTTTAGTTGTTCATTCTCATGCACCTCGTTAATTTGACTTAAAACCCTTTATTTATATTTTTTGTTTCTTTTTTGTGCACGGTGCACTATTAAGAGGCTATTGGTTGAATCACCTAGGTTGACTTGTCACAATGTTTTGCATGTTTGCATGGTGCATGAGAGAGTGCTCATTAGTTCATGATTGAGAAGACTTTTTTGGAGGACAAAAAATCTTTTAAAGCCCCTAATCCTTGGTCTATAGCCTTGAATCATGAGGAAATAACTTCAGTTTGGGAACTGTTTTATGACATTAAAACTTTTAAATCTACTTTTGCACAAACTTGCCTATTAAATGGTGACTTATGACATAGATTTCATTAGTCCTTGATTTTGTTATAATTTTCATGCACCCTTCTCTCTCTCTCTCTCCTCCATCTAGGTGTATTTATAAATGAATTTCAATAAATATAAGTGGGATTTACATTCATGCTACCCACCCAAGTTTTGTTATGTTACATGTTTGACATCATAATCTTCATATTGTATGTCATCTAAATCTCATAAAACTTTCTTTATAGACAGCCTGGTTAACATCCATCAAAGCTTGCAAGTAAGTTTGTTGGAGTTGACACTTCAACCTTTCTTGTTGTTTCTCACTGGTAACTACCATCTGTCATAAAGTGATTAGTGGGTTAGTTTACTAACCAGAGAAACATGTAGGTTGGTTTTCTAGTGTGGGCCTTATCATGGAAGTAAATTTTGTCTTCTAGAATGAAGAATACTGTAGAACATCAATCAATGAACATAAAAAACTTGACATACATATTAATATTATTTTTTAAAAGATGTAATGTGGACGTGCTGTTTCAGATATTTTTGCAATGGTTCCTAATAGAAATCTGTGGAATGCCTGCTTGTATGCAAGGTAAATTTATAGTTTTCACTTTCCGAATGAGGCATTTTCTCACAATTTCTGAACTCCAGAATCTCACATAGATTAGCTGGTCTGTTCCTTCATCTTTACCACTTTGCTTCCTTGTTTTCCTGAATGCTTAACATTGCTGCATTTGGGTTTCGCATGTGATGGCATATGCCTTGACAAATAATCCATTGTTGATTCAATCAAGCCAAGATATATCAAAATAGTCGTGCCAACATTCAATATATGTAGGGTTTGAGATGTGACTAAGCATTGTGTGAAATATATGATTGGTGTATCTCCCCTCTCAAAATTTTGACAATTATTAAAAATTTAGCTTGCTTGATCCTTGTTTGTGGTTCATGCAGTAGGTTCCATCATGTTAAAAACATAAGTTGTAATAATATTTGATTCATTGATAATGTTGGAGATATTTTGTCGGAATGATTAATAGTATCATTAGTATGTTGTGATCACAATGTTAGGATGGGCTAGGTTTTGGCGAAGATTGAATGAATGGGATAGCCAAGCACTTGTGACATCGACTTGTGAAAAAAATAAGGTTAAAAAATGACATGGAAAGAGATATTAGTGTCAAAATCTCAGTCATCCATTGGCATTTGATCCCACGGTCAGGATGAGAATCCGTGGGAGGCTCACCTGGATCACGCCAATATCCTTCTATATTTGGGTAGCTGAATTAGGAAGGATTATATTGAGGCAATTATGTATCAATTAGAAGTTATTTATTTCTTTATTAAGACATCTTGTATAGATCTATAAATAGGGATAATTTTGTATAATAATTAGAAGGTATTTTTACCCTTCTCAAATTCTATGAATTCTAGCATGGTATCAGAGCCAATGGTCTTCATTGTTGTTGAAGAACGATCGTAGATCGTCAGAGGAGAAAAAAGAAGAAGAAGAGATCGAAGGATGCCTACATTGCGACATACGGAAAGTGCGGAAGTCGCGACGGGAGCTTGCTGGGAAGGGTCGATGGGATCTTGTAGTCCAAGCGCCGTTATTACGTCCTCCGACCGGATGCAGAGGAACATCCGGTCGTAGGCAAAATAGCGCCTATACCGAAGTGTACCGAGTTTTTCACCTCGGTACACCTCGGTATAGGCGCTATTTTACCTACGACCGGATGTTTCTTGCATCCGGTCAACCGAACCAAATAAAAGCGCGTAGTCCAAAGCCATCGTCGTTCGTCACCAGCACAGTCGGCAGGCCAGTGGCTTCGGCTTCCACGTACGATCCTACCTCCATCATCTTCAGTTACCTGTGTAACCCCAAAGATTGCCATAGACGTTCGAGATGAAGTCGCCTGAGAGAATCGCAAGCGGGACTGATATGTTTGGAAGAATCGACCACAGGAGTCGAGCTCTGCGGACGACCAGGATGAAGCCCTTGCGGACGAAGCTTGCGGACAAAGGTTGTGAACGAAGCCCAAGACGAACGACAGAGCTTGCGGAAGCGAAGCCAAACCTACGAAGCCGCTCGGACACTCGAAAGAAGAAGTTGTTCGCAGACGCTCGGTTCGATCGGAAGCACCTTTCGATTTTCCTGTTTCGCTCAGATCCACCGAGACGCCCCTCTCGATTATCTTGGACGGTCCGACAACAGCAAGAATTCTTAAATCAGATTTGAGATATCATTAAGACCTAATATTAGCCTTTATGGTTGATATAATCAAATCAACCTTTATTGATGATATAATCAGCTTTCATTGCTGATATAATTAAAAGTAGTCTTGTGATATCACAATGTCTGAAGAAAATTCATCATAGATCTTTGATAAAAAAAAAGAAAAAAAAAAGTGAAAAAAAAATCAGCCTTTATTGCCGTAACTTAATATCAAAGGGATCTTATTTTGGAATCGCCTGGGATATACAAATCAAAGAAAGCAAAGAGAAGAAAGCGGCCTTCATTGCCGTTGGAGTCGTGCGGTCCAAACAGCTCGAGTCCTCTGTTTTGCACCAGCGGCCTTCATTGCCGTAGGACATCGAATGAGAGTCGAGTAAGTCCAAACCGCGCGTGCCCTCTGTTTTGTGGTTGTGGCCTTCATTGCCAGGATTTGGAGGAATATTACTCCTTATACCGGCCTTTATTGTTGGAATACAGGTTCCTATCATCGGCCTTCATTGCCAGAATGTTGAGGAATACTAGTTTCCACCACCGACCTTCATTGTCGGAATTTTGAGGATGTTCCCATCATCGACCTTCATTGCTGGAATTTCGCGGAATACAAGTTCCCACAACCGGCCTTAATTGTCGGAATTTTGAGGATAGTTTTCCATCATCGGCCTTCATTGCCGGCTTTCTCTTGTGGTTAATATCCTATCTATAACCAATGCAGCTCTACCTCTGAGCGAGTAATTGCAAGCTGGTCTCCAGCTTGAGGGGGAGTGTCAAAATCTCAGTCATCCATTGGCATTTGATCCCACTGTCAGGATGAGAATCCGTGGGAGGCTCACCTGGATCACGCCAATATCCTTCTATATTTGGGTAGCTGAATTAGGAAGGATTATATTGAGGCAATTATGTATCAATTAGAAGTTATTTATTTCTTTATTAAGACATCTTGTATAGATCTATAAATAGGGATAATTTTGTATAATAATTAGAAGGTATTTTTACCCTTCTCAAATTCTATGAATTCTAACAATTAGAATTACCTAAATGGAAGTATCTGAGTACGTTGAACTAGTTAATAGGCTTGGAAATGTGTTGTCCTTGTTTTGGCAGCAATCTTGATGTTGAATAAGTATCAGCCGTCAAATTTATGTTCTAACTTGTAAACAAAGCCATACCTATGTGATATTGATATATTATTTCCTTTATTTCATCCCTTCATAGTTTATTGCATTCTAGGCACCGAGCTCTACTCTTGTATTATGATATGATTACATGATTAATTGAGATTTTCTATGGCCTCCTCTCAGGGGATTTATTTCTGCTTTTAAGGGTTTCTATTTATTGCTTAGTCTATCCCTCTTAACTCCTCCTTGAGATGTTCATTTATCTAAAAATTTCAAGCCTTTCTTCTTTATATCTTATCAACTCTCCTTATATTCTAGATTCTTGAAACTTTTGGTGCACCTCCTTGGTCTTTTTCTTCTTGGGATGATTTCCCCATTTATCACCTCATCTTACTAGCGCTGAAATACAAATCAAGGCCTCTAGTTTTTCTCCAACAGCATTTTAACACTTTGGAGTAGAGTTATTTACAGTCCTAATGAATTAAATCAGTATAAGTATTAACTACCATTTTTGCTCCCTAATTTATAAATGTCTTAAACATATTTCATAACTATTTAATATTGGCACAATTTTCCCTGATTTCATTCCTTAATAGTTTTATGCATTTTAGGCATTTATTTTGACGTTGAGTCTATTGAATGGGCTCTAGTCTTGTATAAAGCTGATTACACGATGAATCCATATTTAAAATTTCTTGTACCCAGCCATTCTTAGAGGAGTCTACATTTTTGGAGGGTTTTTACTTGTTGCTTAATCTCTACTGGTTGCCTGCCTCCTTTTAAGGCATTCATTTGTTCATCTTCTTAGCACTTTTCTTCTTTATACCTCACTGGTTCTCCTCTGATACTTCCAGTTCTCGGTGCACTCTTTTCATTAAGAGGTCCAAAGCAAGTTATGCGGATGGAAGCTAAGATATATTAACATGCATTCATGATGCATTTAATTTTAAGAGTTTAGTGCTTAACCTTTAGGGCTAAAGGTGAAAGCATGCCAAAACATGAAAATATATAATCCAACAATATGGTTTACTAATGATGGCTGTCAAACAGTGGGTAATACCCTTCCTACATGACATGCTAAAAAACTCATTGGTAAACATTGTTTAATCTTAAGCATGACATTATCCGTTTATCCATGGAGCAACCATTTATTGTACCTTTGCTGAAGATGTGAGAAACTTTTCATACATTAATAGTGTAATCT